AAGCATAAAGGAGTGTCTGAAAGGAGTTTTTTTTTTCAAAGAAAGACCTCGGTAAAGCTACTTACATATTGAGCATCAAGATCTATTGAGATAGATCAAGACGCTTGATAAGTTTTTCAATAAATACATACCTTGTCAAGATTTTGAAGTAGTTCAAAATGGAACAGTCAAAGAAAGAGTTCTTGCCTGTGTTGCAAAGGTGTGAAATTGAGTAAGACTCAAATCTCGACCACGGCAGAAAATAGAAAAGAGAATGAAAGTCATTCCCTATGCCTCGGTCATAGGTTCTATAAAGTATGCTATGCTATGTACCATACCTATTGTATACTTTGCTCTGAATTTGGCAAGGGAGTACAATAGTGATCTAGGAGTAGATCACTGGACATTGGTCAAGAATATCCTTAGTGAGGACTAAGGAAATATTTCTCGATTATGGAGGTGATAAAAGAGCCCATCATAAAAAGTTACATCGGTGCAAATTTTGACACTGATCCAGATGACTCTAAATCTCAATCTGGATACATATTGAAAGTGGGAGCAATTAGCTAGAGTAGCTCCATGCAGAGCATTGTTGACATAGAAATTTGCAAAATACATACGGATCTGAATGTGGCAGACCCGTTGACTGAACTTCTCTCATGAGCAAAACATGATCACACCTTAGTACTCTTTGGGTGTTAATCACATAGCGATGTGAACTAGATTATTGACTCTAGTAAACCCTTTGGGTGTTGGTCACATGACGATGTGAACTATGAGTGTTAATCATATACAGATATGAATATTGATGTTAAATCACATGGCGATGTGAACTAGATTATTGGCTCTAGTGCAAGTGGGAGACTGAAGGAAATATGCCCTAGAGGCAATAATAAAGTTATTATTTATTTCCTTATTTCATGATAAATATTTATTATTCATGCTAGAATTGTATTAACCGGAAACATAATACATGTGTGAATACATAGACAAACATAGTGTCACTAGTATGCCTCTACTTGACTAGCTCGTTAATCAAAAATGGTTAAGTTTCCTAACCATAGACATGAGTTGTCATTTGATTATCGGGATCACATCATTAGGAGAATGATGTGATTGACTTGACCCATTCCGTTAGCTTAGCACTTGATCGTTTAGTATGTTGCTATTACTTTCTTCATGACTTATGCATGTTCCTGTAACTATGAGATTATGCAACTCCCGTTTACCGGAGGAACACTTTGTGTGCTATCAAACGTCACAACGTAACTGGGTGATTATAAAGGAGCTCTACAGGTGTCTCCGAAGGTACATGTTGGGTTGGCGTATTTCAAGATTAGGTTTTGTCATTCCGATTGTCAGAGAGGTATCTCTGGGCCCTCTCGGTAATGCACATCACTATAAGCCTTGCAAGCAATGTAGCTAATGAGTTAGTTACATGATGATACATTACGTAACGAGTAAAGAGACTTGCCAGTAACGAGATTGAACTAGGTATTGGATACCGACGATCGAATCTCGGGCAAGTAACATACCGAAGACAAAGGAAACGACGTATGTTGTTATGCGGTTTGACCGATAAAGATCTTCGTAGAATATGTAGGAGCCAATATGAGCATCCAGGTTCCGCTATTGGTTATTGACCGAGAATAGTTCTAGGTCATGTCTACATAGTTCTCGAACCCGTAGGGTCCGCACGCTTAACGTTACGATGACAGCTTTATTATGAGTTTATAAGTTTTGATGTACCGAAGGTTGTTCGGAGTCCCGTATGTGATCACGGATATGACGAGGAGTCTCGAAATGGTCGAGACGTAAAGATCGATATATTGGACGACTATATTCGGACTTCGAAAAGGTTCCGAGTGATTCGGGTATTTATCGGAGTACCGGAGAGTTACGGGAATTCGCCGGGGAGAAGTATTGGGCCTTATTGGGCCATACGGGAAAGAGAGAGGGGCTGCCTAGGGCAGGCCGGGCGCCCCCCCAAGGCCTAGTCCGAATTGGACTAGGGGGAGGGGCCGCACCCCCTCCTTCCTTCCCTTCTCTCTTCCCCTTCCTTCTCTCCTACTCCTACTAGGAAAGGAGGAGTCCTACTCCCGGTGGGAGTAGGACTCCCCCCTTGGGCGCGCCTCCTCCTCCTTGGGCGGCCCTCCTCCCCTTGCTCCTTTATATACGGGGGCAGGGGCACCCCATGACACACAAGTTGATCTTCGTGATCGTTCCTTAGCCGTGTGCGGTGCCCCCCTCCATCATATTCCACCTCGATCATATCGTAGCGGTGCTTAGGTGAAGCCCTGCGTCGATAGAACATCATCGTCACCACGCCGTCGTGCTGACGAAACTCATCCCCGACACCCTGCTGGATCGGAGTCCGCGGATCGTCATCGAGCTGAACGTGTGCTGAACTCGGAGGTGCCGTACGTTTGGTACTTGGATCGGTCGGATCGTGAAGACGTACGACTACATCAACCGCGTTGTCATAACGCTTCCGCTTACGGTCTACGCGAGTACGTTGGACAACACTCTCCCCTCTCGTTGCTATGCATCACCATGATCTTGCGTGTGCGTAGGAAATTTTTTGAAATTACTACGTTCCCCAACAATTTCATCTGTTTATACGTGGCAAAATGAGTGGTGATGGAGGCGTGTGGGCTATATGCAAGATGCCACACGTGTGTGCATTAAGTTTTTCGTTAAGAAAAGCAACAACAAGACCTCTGTTACAAAAATGTGTCAAAAACGCTCTTATATTATGGGATGGAGTAAGTAGTAGGTTGCAACAAGGGCAATATTACAAAAATAAAATAAAATAGCAAGATCTCCGTTTCAAAAAAAATATTGTAACAAGATCTTTGATGTAAAAAAATTGTAACAAGACCTTTATTGTAAAAAAAATCTGTAACTTGACCTGTGTTTTATAAAAAAAAATTACAACATGACCCATGTTGCAGAAAATTACCGCAACACGATCTTTATTGCAATGGTAGAGGATGACGCCGTATCCGATGCCTCGTGAGGCGGCGGATCTCCACCGGCGGACGCGTAGCAGCGGCAACGCCCAAAAAATATCCCACAAAAAGGTTTAAAATAACCCACTTCCAATTGAAAATCATTTCATTGCCCCTTTTATTTTTACAGTAGTAATTTCCCCTTGCAAAACGCAGCACGACTGTACGAACGCAAACCCTTGCACACGCACTCACAACCAACCAAGCCCGCCCCCCAAAATTCTCATTCTCAGTATCCAAAGACTCGCGTCGCTCTCGTGTCGCACCAACCAACCACACTCGAACGGGGATTCCCACTCGAACGCCGCCGCTTCGCACGATGGCGACGGGGCACGCCTTCCGGCGCCTGGCGCGGCGGATGCTGAGCAACGTGCCGGAGTCGACCGTCTATGGGGGCCCGCGGCCGCAGGAGGCGGCGGCGGCGCGGCGCGTGACGGTGACGACCCTCCGCGGGAAGCACCGCCGGGGGGAGCCCATCACCGTTGTCACCGCCTACGACTACCCCTCCGCCGTCCACGTCGACTCCGCGGGGATCGACGTCTGCCTCGTCGGCGACTCCGCCGCCATGGTCGTTCACGGCCACGACACCACTCTCCCCATCTCCCTCGACGTCATGCTCGAGCACTGCCGCGCCGTGGCGCGAGGCGCCTCGCGGCCGCTCCTCGTCGGCGACCTCTCCTTCGGTTGCTACGAGTCCTCTTCCACGCAGGTAGTTCACCACGGGCGTCCCTCCCATTCTCGTCCTCTCCGATTCGATCCGGTGGAGATTGAAATTAAATTGCAGTAATGCCGCCCGTGAGCAATTGCGTCTTTGCCACTGCTGGCCTGGTAGATGTGCCATGCTTTGCACTCCCCCTATTTAGCTCTTCAGTTACCTGTTGCTATCATCAGTAAGGAATTGCTTATGCTTGTTCGTGGTGTGACAACAGTAATTTTGCATGTCCTGTTAGAGTCGCTTTAGCTGTTCCCTGCTCTAAGGAGATTGCCATTTTCGTTGATTGATTCCTTTCTAGTTTGTCACAAAGCCCAATATTCCTTGAGTTCAGAAAACTGATGGTTCAACCTTTGCGTGCTAATAAAGTTCAATAGATCGTTGATATTGTTGTCACAAATATATATCTGTAATGGTGTTTTTTTAAGCTAAAAAGACGTTCAGACTCGATTTTTTGCTCTTAGTTGTAAATGCAGTTACATTACTACATCTCAAATATAAAAATAGATAACCCAACTCATGAGCAAGCTGAATACAATAGACATGAACATATGAGGCATATCATATGGCAATGAATACGATAGACATGAACATATGAGGCATATCATAGTGCGATGGTAATACAGTATCTAGATGTGTCAAATGGTATCTACAACTTCAGTGTATAAGAGCTAGGCATTTTGGGCTTGAGCTTTCATGTAATATATCTTTTCTTACAGGCTGTTGACTCTGCGGTGAGGGTGTTAAAAGAAGGTGGAATGGATGCAATCAAATTGGAAGGAGGAGCTCCATCTAGGATCAGTGCAGCTAAGGCTATTGTGGAGGCTGGAATTGCTGTCATGGGTCACGTTGGGCTTACGCCGCAGGCTATTAGTGTACTTGGTGGGTTTCGACCACAGGGGAAGACAGTTGATAGTGCTATAAAGGTGCCTAGTTTGTTTTTGCTGGCAATTTGACTGTTAGCATGTATCATGACCTGTGTCTTGACATACATTTTGCTCCATGTTATTCTGCTTGTGTGTACAGGTTGTAGAGACAGCACTCGCGTTGCAAGAGGCTGGTTGCTTCTCGGTTGTGTTGGAGTGTGTGCCAGCTCCGGTGGCAGCAGCTGCAACATCAGCATTGAAAATCCCAACCATTGGCATCGGTGCTGGGCCATTCTGCAGTGGGCAGGTACAATTATTCGCCATGCTCTATCCATACATTGATTCTGATCTTGATTTTCAAGGAATCATAATTTTGTTATTTGTATTTATTCTATTTGTTATGTAAGCATTTCCTCACCGCATGCACAATCTATGCTTGATTTTTTCCCTTGCCAAAACGTAGCAGTGTATGCTTGACTTTAGCACAGCAAGCACCTTTTCCCTGACAACTGAAAACAACTGTGCCGAAAGAAACCTAGTCAAATCTGCCACTTGAATGCTACGCATCGTCTTGGTCTTGCATATTCTGTTATCAGCATGCAAAGAGAAAAAGATATGTGTTTCCATGTATTCCAAAACCAGAAAATCGGCGTCTATGTTTATTCAGAAACTCTCGTGTCAACACATTTGTCATGCAGGTCTTGGTGTACCATGACTTGTTAGGGATGATGCAGCATCCACACCATGCCAAGGTAAACGAGGCCGTACATTTCAGCGTTGCCCAGAAATTTTACCGTGTTACGCGATTTGCGCCGAGCTCAAGTCTATACAATTTGCTCTGCCTGCAGGTGACACCAAAGTTCTGCAAGCAATTCGGCAACGTCGGCAGTGTCATTAACAAGGCGCTATCAGATTACAAGCAAGAAGTGGAGACACGGTCTTTCCCTGGCCCCAGTCACACCCCGTATAAAATCACCGCAACAGATGTTGATGGCTTTGCCAATGCGCTACAGAAGATGGGTTTGGGTGAGGCTGCGGACGCTGCGGCTGCCGCTGCTGAGAACTCAGAAAATGATGGAAAACCGAGCGAAAACAGTTGATTTCAGTTAAATCTTAATCTGGAGTACAAGACTGCAGGGCAGGGGTAAACTGAAAGCTGAAAGGCAAGTGTTGGCTAAATGCGTCTGATGCCAGGCGATTGCATGTATCGTCTGCCTTTGAATAAATATAAACAGCTGCTGTTGTACGTTGAAAAAACGCAATGTTTTTCAATCTAGCAGCTGCTATTAACTGTGACTTGAGACTTAGTTTAAGGGTGATGTTGTGAGCACCTTACACAAGGAGCGAGCTCTGTCAAACAGAATTAAATAAGCTGTCCAAAAGGGAGCCTCCGGCAATTCTATGGTCAAAAACAACATAAATCAGTATGAGCTGTTTCAATCTATATATGACTTCCAGTTATCTGATTCATCGACCATTTCAAATACTCCCTCCGTCAGGAAATAAGTGACATTGTTTTTGTTTCGGAATAATATACAAATACACCGTCTAATTCATGACTAACTCAGACCAACATACTTCCTTACAGTAGTTTGTTGTGCATACAATGGCAGTAAGCGCTCAGTATACATGTACGCCGACAAGCATCCTTCGGCAGACTGTTACTGTGAAATTCTGAGAAAGGAAACAGGAACATCTTGCGACCCACCACATGCCGGTGTGCGTCCTCAATCCTCATGTACTGTCAAAACCATGGGCAATCGAATGCGCGTCACCTAATTTTTTTACAAACATACATACGAAACCTTACGCCGTTTGCGGCGCCATATGACATCAAGTATGCACCAGGATCGACTGGATGAGTAGATGAATCAGAAGCTCGCCATATGACATCAAGTATGCACCAGGATCGACTGGATGAGTAGATGAATCAGAAGCTCTTCATGAGAAGAGCGGGGTGGTGCTCATACTTGTGCTTTGTGAGAATGAATCTCGTGTACCAAAATGAATCTCATGTTGAGCTAAACTTTGTAATCCTGGAGTAATCACCAACGTTGGCAACAAACAGCGGATCTTTCTCACCGCCGAAGACCGTTTTTTCGCCTGCTTGCTCCAACTCTTTTGTCAAGTCATCCATTGTTTTCTTTAGGTTGGCTTTGCTCATTTGTCCCCCTTCGCTCATTGAAATGCCAACCATGGTGATTTTGGGTAGAAGAGGATTTGCTTCCAAATCATTGTTCATGCTTGAATCATATCTGTGTATCAAACCAAGAGGACCCAAAAATAAGTGGACAGACAATCCAGATAAATCCTAACAAACAACAGTAGGATAAATTATGATTTTAAAACATTTTTGTTCCAAAAGTTTAAGCCACGTTTGGTCCAGTATCAACTGACTTCATGTGAGATCAAGAGATGCATGCGCCGCGCAACACATGCTTTTGTGCATGACCATGAACGAGAAAGGGGAAAGACCTAAAGAGGATGCCGTTGAAGAACAAACCTTCTGGATCTGGAGTCATTTTCTTGCCGTTTGAACATTCTATCGTGCCCTGGCCATATATTAGAAAGTAGATTGCTAAATGGGAAGTGAGACTGGCCATGATCTCGGCTATTGTGTTTTCTGTGGTTGCCGCTATCAATGTTTGACTCCAAAGTTTGAGATTGCTGATCAATTGGGCAGCAGTCAGCATCCTTAGAGGCAGTTGAAGTATTACTGGAGGTAGCAACCCTGTCAACTGAAACTGCTGTCCTGAAAGGTTTGAACAAAATATAGATGTTAGTAGTTCAAAATGAAGGCAATGCAATGGACACTAATCAAATAGCTTATGCTATTACTGATACAACAAAGAGATGGATTTTGCTTGTTCAATAGTTTCAAAAGTTCCTATTTGTAGCTCTCCAAAAGATAAGTTCGACTTCCACCCTTGAGGCCAGATAATCGAATATCTTATACTCCCTCCGGATGTATCTAGACACGACAAATCTAAGACAAGTAATTTGGGACGGAGGTAATATTGCAATAACAGCCTCTAAATGAACCTAGAGGTTTGGCACTTTAACAATTTATACTGCGTATGGCCATCAAGCTATCAAGTTATGATACTATACTTGTTTAAATATGCAAAAATAGGTCGTGCACAATCAAAATGTAATCCAAATCCAGAAAGCCTCTAAAAGTACAATTTACCAACTTCGGTAGTTAGTTTCCCTCCATAAGTCACTACAGAAGAAGGAACAGTTCTACAAAATTTGAGAGAAGAAATAGGCTAATATAAGAGTGGTATTGCATCGGTACCTTTCTTCAAATGAATCAACAACATAAGGAAAATGTGGTTGTATGCCAGTAGCTCTTCTGAGCCACTTATTTCCTAAAAGTAATTTATCAACAACATCAAGACACTGGATCTCAGCTGCTTTTGTTACAACACTTAATGGTATTCCAGCTGGACCAATCTCATTCATCAATTCTTGCATCTGCATAATAGTTACTCAAAATATGAGGCCAACAGTCCACAAATAGGAACTTAAATATTTTCTATGCATTGAATGATCATAGTACCTCTGGAGGCTCAAGCAAGCTGTCTGCACTTTCTTCAAGTATTTCTGATGTTAAACTATCATCAACAATATCTCTTCTACGTTGTATATGGCGGTTTTGAATCATTGAATGAAAATGCTGATCCATTGAAGCTTCGAGAATATTGTCCAACAAGCTTTTATCAAAAAAGTATGGTGAATACCTGAAATCATGAGCAACGAAATTCATGTTATGCTTTCATGAAATATTTATGACATAACAATCTCCTATTTTCTCCTGGCATAGGCAGAAGCATCTAGTATGCACAAGAATCAACGTACATAGCACATGAAACATCATGGCAGAGTCTAAGAGCACGCGTAAATGGACCGTATGCAGATAATCGAACCTAATTAACATTTGACAGGAACCAAGGATATCATGCAGAAAAGGGAAATTGTTAAACAGAAGCATACTTGACAAAAAACGAATTGACTAAGAAAAGGAAGCAAATGTAAATCTGAAAGGTGGATCTCCAGAGTAACATTTCTGCAGAGAACCTAATTAAAAGGGCATCATTGTTTGCTTGTCAATAATGTCAGCTCACACAAAAAGATGCATGTCAAACGTAACACAAACTGAACAAGGTGGTAGCATGCCTGGTAGAGTATGGCCTGACCAAATTGTGGGGAAATGATCAATGGAGAATAAAGAATTTAATCCATACCATCTAATTCCATCATTTGTTGCCACTGCAATATTCAAATTTTGAGCACTAAAAACAGGGACACCAGCAAGTTTTTTCTTTCTGCCCCTTTGTGGGATTGACTTTAAGAGCTTATTAGCAGCTTTGACCTAAAAGGAGAAGAAAATTAGTTTATGTTCACATGTTAAGGTATCCGCAAAACTGAAATATTTAAGCACAAACCTGCTTCTCGTTTGGAACAAACTGGAACATGTGAGGCTTTTCCTGCAAAACAACAATTTTCATGAATACATTGAACGCAACATGCCATATGTATAATGCTTAAAGGTAAAAAAAGAAGGTATATCGAAGGAGATTCTCTTTTAACTTTTCACACCTTGTATTGTGTATATGTATTGGGCCATAACAATACACCAAGCATAGTGCATAACATCTACAAATATGATGCAGAAAAATAGAAGAGCCCAACTGTTATGGATCTTGGTCTAACGGGTAGTTTGGATAGGATAATGGTCTGAAGACAGGGCATAGGGCACTTGCCCACTACCGTCTGGTGTCTGGCCTCATTCCCAACAAAGAAGAGAGGCTCTGAGGCTTATTGGAACTTTGTTAATTGTGGACCCTAAAAGATGAGTGCATGCTTGTCCTTTATATAGAACAGCTCACTTGATACACAAATCAGATCAGAACAGAAACTCTTGACTATATTCCTAAATCCTAATTCAATTGGACCCTACTTAGTTTTAACTTTTAAAGGAGAATTCATATCCAACATGGACACTTAAGCTCTTTCTACTTTATCCTACACCTTCACAAATATGCACGTACAAGCCTATTACTGCTACCAGCTTGCTGCACGGCAACTGCAACCAAGACGCGTGCAGATAATGCAGTTTTTCAATGCCAGTACTATCAAAGCAGGCTATAAACTTAATGTTCAATAAAGAAAAAGTTGAGCTTGACATGAACTATTGGAACATTCAACTGTAGAGTACAAATATTGTTATGTTGCCGCCGTCGAATCCCCGCCGGTAGCCCACCTCCACCTCCCTCCCCCAGTCCTCCAGCCCCATGGCGTCCTCCAGCGCTGACCCCGCCGACCGCAGTGTGACCCTCTCCGACGAGTGTGTGTCCTCCGGCGACCGCTGGCTCGACTCGGGGAGCGAGTCCTCCGCACGCTCCTACTGCGAGGTCGCGCGCCGCCCCGCGGCTCCCCCTGTGTCGCCGGCGCCCCCAGCACCCCCTGCCCCTGAACTTGCGGCGGCGCCACGCAGGCAGCCTGCCAGGACCCGGCTCGGCCCTCGCTCCGAGGTACACCGCGTCCGGCGTCTCCAGCGCCAACGCGGTTGATGCGGACGGGTTCCAGCAGACAAGGCGCAGGAACCGACGCCGACACCCGCGCCAGGTTGACGCGCCCCGCTCCCCTCCGCGCTGCCCGCGCAACCCTTCTCCTGAAGAGGTGGTCGGGCTCTGCTTCCGGTGCCTGGACCCCGGCCACCACGTGAGGGACTGCACCAACCACATCAGATGTCGCCGCTGCCCGACTTCTGGCCATGACTCCCGCTCCTGTGACGCCCGCAGCCAAGAGGCGGAACATAGCCCCCGTGCCCCCCTGGCAACCCCCGGCGGACCGACATGGAACCTCCTCGCACCCAGGCCACCCTCCTACGCCTACCTCCCCAAGCTGCTCCGGCCGCGCCGCTGCCTGACACCCGCTCTCTCAAGCCAGAGCGCGTCAGTGTCGCACACCGTGGAGATGGAGGAGGCGGAACGGGTCCTGGCTCGCACGCTGGTGGCTTCCGTCACTGGCAACCGCCAGCAGGTCTCCGCCGACGAGGTCGCCGCGGCGCTCTACGACTCATTCGGTCTGGTCG